ATTCTGCCAAAACTGATTGCAGATTCGGACATTCCATAGTCGATTACCTTGTACGCAACAAGTTTTAAATTAAGATATTCTAGAAAAATTTCTCAGACTCATTCAGTCCTTGATTCTCTCTAGGAACGTCGTAAAAACTTCTTTTGCAAAACAATGGAGAAAATTTTTTCTGGAATATACTCCGCTTCAAAACTTGTTGTGTACAATGGAGAGTCCGAATCTGCAATTAGTTTTGGCTAAACACGCTTTTAAAATTTCTCGACTACATTGATATGAATAATGAAAAGAAACATTTAGAAACATTTTGTTTTTTACATTTAAAACATTATGCAATGTAAAACTTAAAAGTATTAAAACATTACATATTTTATACACAAAAATAAACATAAGTTAAAGATAAAATATATTTAAATTTTGAGCAACAACAGAAATAATTAACAATAATAAAAGCTTCTACATTTTTACAAACAGTTCTATTGAAAACTTATCTAGTTGGAATCGAGTATTTGTCTTTGTCATAAGTACTGGTAGTATATAGAACAATAATCAATCACCGATTCAAAAAACATAAGCAGTTAATTGAGACATGTATTCGAGTATATATATATGAATCAGAATCGATTATGCGTGAATGTGGATAGAGTAAAAAACCGGCACTCTAAGCGGTTTCATCCACAATTCACCACTAATATAACTATAGACGGTAATAACACAAACAATGATTGTTTCAGTTCTTTTTTTAACATGGACTTGTTTCAGGAACGATCGTTCGGAGGATAACGAGGATAGTTACCTGTCTTTCCATTGCCTGTTGTATTAAAACTTGCAGCTAATTTTAACTGCATTTGTCTTTGACGAACTAAATATAGAATAATATTTATATTTTGATATAATTAGAAAGTTATTTGAATTATACTTTGCTCAATTAAACTAGGATTGCTAAAATTTTCATTAATATTCATCTGATTTATTCGTATGGGTTGTTGTTGTTGAATAGAAGATGGAAGGAGAGGTCCACCAGGCAAAAGACCGGGAAATATTTCAGTGACATTTACAGTTGGACCGCCCATTACCTTTTAAAATGAAACAATAAAATGATCCAATAATCATAAATAATATCATTAATGATATATTCTAACCTGACTTTCTGTGTAATAAACTTCACTACGATATCGTTCATCTTCCGTTATAAGAACTTCGTCCAAAATCTGTACTTGTGGTAATCGATAAACAATAAATAAACGATAAGTTGATTTACGTGAAATCTACAATTCAAAATATGTACAACTAACATTTTCTATTGTTCACAAATTAGACAAAGTGTAAACAGTAAAATATATACAGTTCGTCTACAAAAAAGATGTTATCTCTAGAGGTAACAGATAAGTTATTGTTTATGAGTTGAACAGTAGAAAGAGTGACATTTATGCAGGAACCTTTTTGGGTAAAAGAAAATGTTTTCTAATAAAATAAGATTCTTTTGGGATGTAATTTCTGATGTTGATCGTAGATCTGATTATTTGGGTGGAAGTGCACGCATCTGTAGAGAAGTTCATGAAGAACTTTCTACTGAACAGCGTCTGATCCATTGACTTTGTAGAACTTATCAAGTTACCTATGTGATAACGTTTCCACAACTATGAAACAAATTTTAGCGAAGTTATAAAATTTTGAATTTAGAAAAAATCCGAACTTTTTAGCTTTTCTGCCGTTAAAGTTTTCATAACTTCGCTAAAACTTGTTTCATAGTAGTGGAAACATTATCACATAGGTAACTTGATAAGTTCTACAAACTCAATGGATCAGAAGCTGTTCAGTAGAAAGTTCTTCATGAACTTCTCTACAGATGCATGCACTTCCAATTTGGATGGATCATTCAGATAATCAGATTTGTGATTAACACCGAAAATTACATCCAAAAAAATCTTATTTGATTAGAAAAAATTTTCTTTTACCCAAAAAGATTTCCTTGCAGTTATACACTTACCGGATTATTCATTAATGACAATTCGCTCAATCCCACTAAATTAATTAATTTTTCTACTTCAGTCAACTCCTGAAAAATGATTAAAACTAATTGTCAATTCTTTAAAGATAAAACATATGACAACTATAATTTACCTGTATTTTATTTGATCCTAAAAATAGTTTTTTCCAATTTTGACATTCGGTCAAAATATGATAATTCTCGAATGCGATTTTCTTCTAGATGTAATTCAATTAAATTTGTTTGAAAAAAAAATGATGTTTCTATAAAAGAAAGAAAAGAAATGATGTTTAGCATATTGACTATTAGATTGAAAAGAAAGACAATGATACCTGTAATAACTCGAATTTTATTTTTATCTAAAACTAATTCACGAAGATTTCTCAATGATTCTAATCCTTCTACTTTTGAAATTTCATTTCCTATTTGATAAAGAAAAATATCACTTTAAATTAGTATACCTAGATGACATGTAACATTTACCCTGCAAAAATAATGAACGTAAAGATGGAATTTTAGATAATTGTAGTGAAACCACATCACTAATGTTATTGTAACTAAAATTAAAAAAAATATTTATTTAGTTCACTATCAAACTCTTTATAAAACAAAATAAAAAATCACTGGTACTACTATCCATTTAAAAATAACGGTGTCTTAGAGTATTTTTTTGAATAACTCTTAAACGATAATAGCTAAAGAATTACCGTTTTTCACCAGC